CGGTTTGCAATCTTAACAGCTGGACCTATTAATGAGGAGGATCATAATCAAATAATTAATTCTGTTACTCCTCATATGGGGGGCCCTCAGTTTGAAATTCCTCAGAAAATATGGACTAAATCCAAAAAGTCCAAAGATACCCCTAGGACTAAATCAACGGTTCCTACTATGCATGCGGCTCATTCTTCAAGCACGGGTAAGAGGTGTCCAGTCCATAGTGAAAATCGTGAAGATCATACTCCCATTCCACCATCTCCATCAATTGCTACTCCCATGGCGGTTAGTCCTATGCAAGCAAATCAACATGATCAGGAAAATGGGATGAAAGCAGATAACACTTTGAACCAGAATCAAGAGCAGTTATATGACACATTTCATAAAACTGGTCCTGATATATCAGTTGACAACAGCAGCGACATCCAAAATCCTGAAACCTCAACCATCTCTACGTGCATGGAGGTGGACAGAGTTCACCAGGAAGATATTTCAAGAATGAAGGATGCAAGAACCTTGGAGTCTTGCGTTCAACATAGTTTTTAATGAATTTATTCTTCTGGAACTGTAGGGGAGCAGTGAAACCCCAGTTTCAAAATTCGCTTTTTCTGTTTACTAGGAAATATAAGCCTAGTATTGTAGTGATTCTAGAACCTCGGTGTAGTGGTCAAAAAGCTTCTGACATTATCCGAAAATCTGGGTTTAAGCATGCTTTTGTTCAAGAGGCAGAAGGTTACTCAGGGGGTATTTGGATCCTCTGGAATGATGAGACTGGTCACGTTGAAATTATTAATCACACAAAACAGTTTGTTCATTTTACAGTTCAGAATTTTCATGTTCCTTCCTTTTCTTGCACGGCAGTTTATGCGAGTCCTAGGGAAGAAAATAGAAAGGAGCTATGGGATGATCTGCTAAACATTAGTCTCCATTGTAATGGGCCGTGGTTGGTGGCTGGGGATTTTAATGAAATAGCAAATCGGGATGAGAAGAAAGGTGGCTGTAGAGTTAACTTAAACAGATGTTCCAATTTTGCAAATGTTCTTCATAATTGCAAGCTGCTGGATCTTGGAGGATCAGGTCCTTGGTTTACATGGAAGGGTCCGAAGTTTCTTCATCTTGATCGTGTTTTTAAGAGGCTGGACCGAGCCTGTGCTAATGCAAGTTGGAAGACTACCTTTACTGATGCTGGCGTTAAGGTACTTCCACGGATTTATTCTGATCATAGTCCCATTTTGGTCTACTTGTCTAACTTGGACACAGGTTGGAAAAATCGTCCCTTTCGCTTTGAGATTGCTTGGATAGAGCATTATAACTTTACTCAGTTTCTGGCTAGGAGCTGGAATGTTGTGAAAGACACTAGAACGAATCTGCATGATCTGACTCCAAATTTAAAAAGATGGAACAAGATAGTCTTTGGCAACATTTTCAATAGGAAGACTAACCTATTGCATAGTATTGCAGAAATTCAGAATCATGTTGATTATCATACCAACTTATCTCTCCAATCTAGAGAAAAGGAGGTTAGGAAGGACCTTGATGCGGTTCTCATACAAGAAGAGATCTTATGGTTTCAAAAAGCCAGGGTGAAATGGATAAATGATGGGGATAGAAACACCAAATTCTATCACATTAAAACAGCTACTCGAAGAAGTTCGAATAGGATTCTTGAGTTAAAAAATTCTGATGGGATTTGGGTGAAGGAAGCTAGACAACTTCATCAATTGGTAACAGATTTCTATAGCAACTTGTTTAGTGAGGAAGTCCTTAATCGTGATTGGGTGAAATCAAAGACTACTTGGCCCCTTCTGCACGATGATCTGCTATCTAATTTGACTCGTAATCTTTCGGATGACGAAATTTCAAAAGCTGTTTTTAGTATCAATGGGTCAAAAGCTCCAGGGGAAAATGGTTTTCCAGCTGCCTTTTTTCATAAGAATTGGAGTCTTATTAAGACTAATGTTATTAAGGATGTTAACATGATGTTTCAGAATCCCAATCTGATTCACCTTGTGAACTCGACTCTTCTGGTCCTCATTCCAAAAGTAAAGAGACCTGAAAGTGCTAAGCAGCTCAGACCAATCTCTTTGTGCAATGTCATTTATAAAATCCTCAGTAAAATTCTGGTTAACAGAATGAAGCCCCTAATGGAAGAGATGGTGTCTCCCTTCCAAGCTAGTTTTGTTCCTAAACGACATATCCAGGACAACATCATCATCACCCAAGAGCTGATCCATTCAATGCGTAGAATGAGAGGAAGAAAGTGTTTCATGGCAATTAAAATTGACTTGGAAAAGGCTTATGATATGTTAAATTGGGAGTTTGTTCGTAAAATTTTGGATGAAATTCAAATCCCACACTGGTTCACAAATATTATCATGAATTGTATCAACTCTGATAAGGTCTCAGTGCTTTGGAATGGAGCCATTGCAGGTGACTTCCTTCCTTCAAGAGGAGTTCGTCAGGGTGATCCTTTATCTCCCTACATTTTTGTTCTAGCCATGGAAAAATTGTCTCATCTCATTCAAGATGCGGTTGACAATAAGAGATGGAAGCCAATCTCCGTGGGATCAAAAGGTCCTAAGATAGCCCATTTGATGTTTGCTGATGATTTGATGTTGTTTGCAGAAGCTTCTCTAGATCAAATCAAAGTTATAGTGGATTGCTTGGAGACTTTTAGTTCAATGTCTGGCCTAAAGGTTAGTATTCCGAAATCTAGTATTTTTTTCTCGAAAAATACAGATGCTCACATTGCAGATGATATCACAAATGTGTGTGGCTTCAAGCAAACTCACAATATAGGGAGATATCTTGGGTCCATGATGAAACATGGTCGAGTAACCAAAGACCATTATGCTGATGTTGTTGCAAGAATTAGGCACAAGTTATCTGGTTGGAGTAACCAGGTCTTATCTTTTGCCGGTCGAATTACACTTTCCAACTCCGTTATTTCAGCAACTCCTATATTTCAAATGCAACACAATCTGCTTCCTGTAGCCATTTGTGATGAAATAGAGAAGTTGCAGCGTGCCTTTATTTGGGGTGATAAAAATGGTCAAAGGAGATCTCATCTGGTTGCATGGGATAATATTTGCAAGCCTAAGAGCATGGGTGGCTTAGGGGTGATTAACCTTCGTGTCCAAAATATGGCTTTCTTTCACAAGCTTGCATGGACGATACTTACTTCGCCCGATTCGTTGTGGGTTCGAGTTGTAACAAGTAAATATAAGAGAGGTTTGGATCTTCGGAGGGAAGTAAATCATAAAGCATATGACTCAAACTTCTGGAAAAATCTGTGTAGTGTTTGGCCATCTTTTCTTCAAGCAATGCAATGGGAGATTGGAGACGGTAATGATGCATTATTTTGGACAGACAATTGGTTGGGTTTAACTGAGTGTCTTGCCTCTCTCTCTCTACTCGTACTCCAACTGGTTTGGAGTTGAATCTCCCTGTTAGTGCCTTCGTGAACAACAATACTGGTCAATGGAACTTTCCCTATATTCGTCAATATCTCAATGATCAAGCTGTTGCAAGGATCCAAGCTGCTCTCATTCCTAGCGCATCGGATGGAAATGACCGCATTATTTGGAGAAATCAAAAGGTTGGCTGCTCTTTAGTTAAAACCGCGTATTATAACATGCTTGGTTTCCCTCTCATGCCGTTGAAAAATTCCTGGACTACCATATGGAAATGGCATGGGCCTCAACGTGTTAAATCTTGTATGTGGATCATAATGCATGGCCGCCTTCTTACTAAAGACCGCACATCTAGATGGAGTGGGGAATCTGGTCATTGTAAAATATGTCCTGGTGAGTTGGAAACAAACCTCCATGTTCTAAGAGATTGTAAGCATGCTAGAAGTGTTTGGAATTCTCTGGTTTCAGCTAATCGGCAAAGCTTATTCTACAGCTTGGATCTTAGAGATTGGTTTGAAAATAATATCTCAAAAGCTTGGAATCAAAGTAATTCAGATGATTGGCGTGATGTCTTTTTTATCTCTTGTTGGTTCATTTGGGGATGGAGGAACAAAAGTGTCCATGATACTAACTTCAAGCATCCAACCCATGGAACGCACATAATTGCTATGTATATAGAGGAAGTTCGTAACTGCATGGGTAGGAAGGCTATGGCTACTACTAGCATTCATCCAACTCGTATGAGTTTATGGAAACCTCCAAGGTTAAATTGGGTGAAGATTAATATTGATGGGGCAGTTGAAATGCTTTGACATTTCTTTTCGTGTCTTGCAATTTTTCACACTCATGAAATTTGAGAAAATTTTCTCATTAAATAGGGTTGGTGGATAAGGGCAATCTCTTGCAAAGTTGCTAACATTAAATCCAAAAGACTTGCTCAATCAGAGGCATTAAGGTATATACCCAACACACTCTGTTCATGCAAATCATCATTGTTGTCGTACATTACTGGCATATGCTCCTCAAAATCCCCCAACCGTCCCAGGTATAATGAAACGACGGAAAAGTTGACTAGATAACGTACCCCATGCCAACTACTCCAATCACGACAACCCCCTGGTCACCACATTGGACTATTAGTCTATAATTCTTAGTGTTCACGAAGTAGTCGCCAAATCCAAAAACTCCAACCTAACACCAAACTGAAGGGTCACACACAGAGCAGTGGCAAACTTTCAGACACACTATAAGAAGGGGTTAATGTTTTTTTTTTTTTTTTGGATAATTTTATCTTCTACACTTGTATAAAAACATGTAAAAAAGAAAAAAAAGAAGGATCTTTTATATACTTTTTATGTCCATGTATAGGAGATAAATTTATCTACTATAATATAACATATAAACATTACACCCCGCAACAATTACCAAACGCAATGAACCACTGAACTGTCACAGTAATATCCACGTTTTCCAAAAGCATAAACCTAACTTGGGACACCCTTATTCTTACCTCGGTTTGATCGTATTTTCTATTGTACTCTCTGTCTCTTTCTTTGTCTCTTTCTCTCTCACTATGTTCTTATCTTCTTCTCATTTTACTCACATCCATTTGTTATGGTTTCAGCTGCGTGATTCCTGCGCTCAGCTTAGGATGTTCCACTCTTCTCCTTTCTCTCTCCAGGGCTCATTTTCTTCTCCTTCAGCTCAATGCCGCTTCAGATTTGTGGAGGGTAGGTTTCTAATCTCTCTCTCTCTCTCTACATATATATATATATGTGTGTGTGTATTTTGAATCTTGGTGGTTTTGGTTGAGTTTTGGGACCTCCTTTTTCCTTGTATGATGAGAAACATGGGTGAATGATAAATTGACAATAAAGGGTATGAATAAAAAAATTTAAATTTTGAAAAGAGGTTTAGGATCCTTGAAGTTCAAAAATGATGGGAAGTTTTTCATTTTCATATTGTTGCAATTTACATCTTTCACTATGCTCCGTGTCATCTAGAAGGGTTTTTTACTTTCTAATTTGTGTTTATGTATTTGATGACATGTACACAGGACACTGTGTATCTGTTAAGATTGTTAAATAGGTTAACGTACCCATTGGATTCGGCATACATATAAATGGGGGGTGAAACGGTGAATGGGACATGGCTCGGTGTTTTGTGGCCAATCTCTCGCAAGAGTGCATCAGATGACAAGGAAGAAATTGGGATTTTGGCACTTGAAGTTGCGGGTTTGATGTCTAAGGTGGTTAACTTATGGCATTCTTTGGGTGAAAGTGAGGTAATGAGTCTGAGAGAATGGATAGTGAACTCTGTTGGGGTCAAAATGCTGGTGTCTGATGATGATTATTTCTTGATGGAACTTGCATTGAATGAGTTACTCAATAACTTTGAATCTCTAGCACGGTATGTTGCAAGGTTGGGTAAGAGGTGCAGGGATCCAGTATATCATGGTTATGAGCATTTTGTTAATAACCCATGTCAAAATTGTCTTCAATGGTCTGGGTGGGAATATAGATGGAAAAAGATGGAGAGGAAGGTGAAGAAAATGGAAAAGTTTGTTGCTGCTATGTCACTATTGTCCCAAGAGCTTGATGTACTAGCAGAGAGAGAGCAAACTTTCAGGAGAATGCAAGTGAATCCTGAGTGTAATCGAGTGAAATTGCTAGAGTTTCAGAAGAAGGTCATGTGGCACCGCCAGCAAGTGAAAAATCTGAGAGACATGTCTCCATGGAATAGAAGTTATGACTATATAGTTCGGTTGTTGGCAAGATCATTGTTTACAATTCTAGAGAGAATCATACTTGTCTTTGGAAATAGCCATCTAGCAGTTGAAAAGCAACTAAATGATTCTCTCCCTATGAATACTAATAATCATCTATCACGCACCCTTTCCTTCCCCATTCTTATGCATTATGGATTCTGTTCTGAACCTACTGGGAGCAGGCCGGTGTTAAACTCAGGTGTTGTAGTTGACAAGAGCAAAAGCAAGAAGAAAGAGCAGCAAACTTTATATAGAAAGCAGTGTTCAGAAATCAAGCAGTTGAAACATTTTGGGTCCTTCAAAGGATGCAAGTTGGTTGGAAATGATTCTCATGTCATACAGAGTCGTGTGTCAACTAGTGGTGGTTCTATGAGGTTGATTGATTCTCATATGAAAAATATTGATAACATGAAAACAGTGGATCAATCATCTCTCTTTTACAGAAGTAGAATATATTTTAAACTATCCCTCAAGGGTAGATTAAAGCCAGCTCCATCTACACTTGGTGATGCTGCTTTAGCTCTACATTATGCAAATGTGATCACATTGATAGAGAGGGTAGTGTCAGCACCTCACCTGATTGATCTTCAAACAAGAGATGATCTATACAACATGTTACCAACCACTATAAGAACCGCTCTGAGGGCTAAGCTTAAGTGGTATGCTAAAAGCAAGCACGATGCTAACCTTGCATTAGAATGGAGTGTGGTACTCACACAGATATTAGAATGGTTGGCCCCACTTGCACACAACATGATAAAATGGTATTCTGAGAGGAATTTTGAGAGGGAGCATACTACTTTGAAAGCAAATGTTTTACTAGTTCAGACTCTTTACTTTGCAAACCAAGCAAAAACTGAAGCTGCAATGGTTGAGCTCCTTGTTGGTCTCCACTATGTATGCAGCATTGATAGAGAAGCTGGCATTAGAGATACACCAGAGTTTGCAGGCTTTAGATCTTCTCATGGTGTTCGTTTAAGAAAAAATGAGTTGTGCAATAAATTTATATAGACTATATATGACATTGCATGCAAATGTGCAGGGGCTGAATGTCATCACCAATGTATAGCTCTCATTTTTAAATGGGAGGCTTTCTCAAATTGTACTTTTAATATTAATATGCTGATTAGATAATTTTGTTCAAAATACATATTTTATTTGCTTGATTTGCTGAATTAAGATGTGAGAAAATAGCTACAAGTCCAACTTTTTATTCAATTGACTTAGTCAGTGTAATTTTTTTCTTTTCTTCAAACCATCAAAACCGAATAAAGACAATTGGTAACAGTGGCTGAGTAATCAATCTTTGTTGTAGTTAGTGAGCAACTCTAATTAAAAAAAGAGAGCATAGATTTATATAATTGGAAATTTGGAATCAATGTGCACAATGGGTCCCAGCTTATTTTCAGCAAAGCTTGGTCCCATTTTATAATGGGAAAAGTGTCTATACATTTAAATTACACAACTTACATCTTTTCACTCTCACAAAGAGGTGGGACCCACAACTTTATTTTTTTTGTCAACTCTCTCTCCTCCTTTATCTATCTCTTTCTCTCTCTTAAAATGACACAACTTTACATCCTTCAAAATTATACACACTTTTCCCTTTTATAATTGGAGCTGTAATGAAAAGTGTGTCTAATTTTTGAAGTACATGATGAGAATTGCTGTGTATAATGTATTGTTGCTATTTATCATCACTGAATAAGTTGATTTTTTATTTATGTTAAGGGTAGGCTAGAATGAGAAGGAAAGCAAATAAATGAAATGAAATTTTCCTTTTTTTGGAAAATTAATAAGAGAATGGAACAAAACTCAATCACTGTTATTTGAAATAAAATTATAAAAAGAATGGAACAAAATTGATAAAAACTTTAACTTCCCTTAAATTTATTAAAATTAAATAAAGATACTTAATTTGGTCTGTTATTATTGTCAATTTGTCATGAATATCTTCACAAAATTAAACCTTCAAGTGTATGTGTAACAACTAAAAAAAGATCTAAAAACTTTCAACTATGTATATTTGGTTTTTTTTTTTTTTTTTTTTTTTTTTAATAAATCACAGATATTCTCTATGGAAAATAATTTTGTTTGAGCAATGAACATTCACATTATACTTAAGCAAAATCAAATATGTATTACTTGAATCAACCCTCGTTTTACGTTTTAAAATATGTAAAATGTAATAAACCCTGAAATGAATCCCTGAGAATTTCTTTTCCTTTTATGTATTTTTAAGTAAAGAAATTTCGTTCCATTCCTCTTCTACTTCTATTTCTCTACTTACCTATTACCTAAACACAATATAAGCAAGAATTTGAGCTATTAAAGTTAGCCGATGAGGAAAAAAAATAAAATTTGACGTGGGGATGAATCGGAGTTACGACAACTATGAGTTAGAAATGCTCATAATCGTATACTTTTACGAAAGAAGTGCATGCAATTTATATATAATAATAAACTGGATAAATTCTATTAAAAATAATAAGATTTAGAAAGGCAATATATTAAAAAGAATAATGTATAAAAGAAGAGGAAAAATTATTTAACATAATTTCAAACAAAAATTTCACACAAGAAGATAATTTATAAACGAAAGGAATCACTTCCTCTAAAAACTCATAACTTTAGACAAGAGAAAATCAATTTATTTGTTGTGAATTTAACGATTTCTTACAAAATTTACAATAATGTATAAATTTACATTCACAAAAATGTTCCTCGGGATAGAATTTGGATTTGGATTGCTTTTATGTTATTAAATAGTAATATATGGTTCAGTTATAAAGAGAAAAATATATATTTTTTAATATAACAATTGAATCTTATATAATTAATTATGGAAAGGTCTTCGTTTGATAAAATTTGTATTTTTTTTCTTTATCTAACAGGGTCTTATACATTTATACTGTTATTTAGGGGCTGTTTGGTATGGAGTAATTTCTTGGATGTCCTGGAAAGTGAAAGTGAGAATAATTTGTTTCCACGTTTGGTAGAAAAAAAAACGTAAATTTTTTCTAGGTATCGTTTATTCCCCGGCAACCATTTAACACTAGTGATTGTGAATTATAATTCGCATTTAGAAGGTGGATATTGTGTGTTCCCATGATTTGGTTTCTACGCGTTGTATTTGGCAGACTAAATTACCCTCCAATGATTCAAGATATGGTTTATCACAGGCAGTGGCGGACCGAAATGGGGGCTAGGGATGACCCCCCTAAAACTCTTGAAAAAAAATTTATATATGGATGTCTGGGTGAATTATTGAGGACAAGATAAGCACAAGTAATGTGGACTATAGAAATTGCTAACGAGTGCATGGATAGTGGCAATTAGAGAAGTTCATGGTGCTTCACTGTAAGGTAAATGAGAAGCCACATGGATAAAAAAGATTTTGAAAACATAAACCAAACAAATAAAACAATAATTAATAATTGATAAATAATTAAATAAGATACAGAAGTAGAAACACTTCGACAAAAACTGTTGAATGGTTCAAATTAAAAAATTTAACTGTGTAAAATAAGACAAGATGCAGTTAAAGGCCCTACACAAATGGAGGCCCATTTAAGTTACCATTCGGCCCAAGGCCCATATGAATATGGTGTGGTCTTTGAGCTCTCGCTAACACTTCAGTGTAGTAGCAGAAGGTAGAAGAAGAAGAAGAGGAATGGCGTAACCGTTGACGAAGACGATGAAGAAGGGGTTGGTGGTGTACAAGATATACAAAGCCCTAAGCTACGGTTTATCGCCGTTAATCCGCCTTCACTTGCGGTGGCGCAGGTTCCGCGGCCTGGAGCATCCCCGACGATGGCCGGAGCGGCTCGGTCACCCGTCGCAGCCACGACGGCCGGGACAACTCGTGTGGTTCCACGCCGTTTCGTTAGGCGAAGGAATGATAGCGATTCCTGTGATCAAACACTGCATTCAGAAGAGGCCTAACTTGAATGTGCTCATGACTATCACCACAATGTCTGCGTTGTAAGACACTGCATCCATTTTCAAACAACAATTTAATATATTTTATTTTTTAATTTTTAATTTTAAGTGTATTTCTTTGATTTGTTTGAATTTTTATTTTATTTTAAGTGTGAATTAAGGCCTTAGCTGTGGAAATTTGGAACATTAGGAAATGTCTTCTAAGTGATTATGATGCTTTTCCGAATTTTAATTAAACATTGTATCTGTTGCTTAGTTTTTTTTTTAAATTAAATTAATGAATAAAGTATAAACCATTGAGTCTTTTTGGTTGTGCACAAGAACTTGGAAGAGAAATTAATGGTTTAGATGAAGTGATGGATTGGTGCTTAGATGAATATCACTTAATTTGATTTTTTGAGAAGAGAAACATTCATTGCTGAACTTATTTTTATGAGGTTATCTTTTTTTTTGGTGTAATGCAGTGAAGTGTTAAGCAACTGGCTTCCAAGTGAAATCATTTTACAGGTACATTTTTGGGGAATGCTAACATAGTAACATGGATTAAGTAATCCGTTCGTCCAACTGCATGTTTTCTCGAATGAAGTTTATTGCCTTGATGGGTTCATGCATTTAAATGACTTCTAAAACACTGTTGTCTGTGCTGAATCTGATCAGTGATCACTCATATAAGTAAAACTTGCGGATGAAAGGATGATATGTTCTTGTTTCTTATAATGTGGCATTACTAAGCTTTTCATCAATCAATCAGGATACTAGGGTGCTGGAATGTGATTTCTCAACTTTTTTAAACATTGATTAGCAATAATGAAGCATTTGTTCCAAAAGAAATTTATTTCTGAAAAAAAAATGAGAAATTTGCTTTGTTTCTTAAAGAAATTTGTTTTGGGAAAGTTGTTTAAAAGTCAATTTTTGTCATGCTTTTAACTGATTTATGTGATCTTAGGGATGTAAATCTGGCTTCAGGATAAAATAAAAGACCAAACAGACTCCTTGAAATGACATTCCTGGGTTGACATTTGTGTTCTGACTTGCTTATTATTTACCACTTTCAGTTTGAACAGAAGTTCTTAAAATATTTAAGATATCATTTGGTTTTCATCTTTCAAATTTTCAGATCAGGCTTAACACATTGTTTTGGTCTGCTGAAACTTTGAAATTTGGCAGTTTTCACCAATCGATACACCTGCTTCTATCCATTCCTTCCTTCATTACTGGAAACCAAATGCTATTGTGCTAATGGAAAGTGAACTCTGGCCAAATCTTATCATGGATGCTTCCAAAAATGGTGTAAGTCATTCTTTTTCAATAGTTTGTGGACTATATCAATACAGAACTTATAGTGTACAGAAAAATAGTTGAATGTTTAAACCATGCATCTAGAATCAGAACTAGATAATCTACTGCATGAATGATAGTTAATCATTAGTTGAGACCCAATTCTTTTAAGCAAAAATGGAAGAGCATTTAATTTCTTTTCTCATACATCTGCTTCACTTGTATGTTACATGTGAATCGTAGAAAATAGTTTCACTGATTCTTACATATTATAACCCATTTTACCCTCATCAGATAACACTGGCACTGTTAAATGCTCGGATATCTGAAAAATCCTTTAAAGTTTGGTCAGGACCAGTGCTACTACCTTTAATTTCATTGATGTTATCCAAGTTTTCCTTGATTGTCCCATTGGTATGTGCTCCTAGATCTTTTTACCTTCACAGTAATTTATGTCTTATATTAATGGCATTGTTGAACATTTTGAATGTCATAGAGTACAGAGCAGGGTATCCGGTTTCAGCTACTGCAAGCCCCACCTTGTATCATAAACTTTTCTGGTGATCTGAAGTATGGTATGTCATAAACTTCCTTATTTGAATTGAATGAATTTGAATGTGAAAAATTGTTAACAGTCTATTCTAATAGAGAACATCATTGTGTTCTTTTTCTGTCTGAGTTGGTTTATTGGCTTTTCGAACTAAACTAGTTAAATAGTTGACCTCTATTTTGTTGCTGATATGGTTTCAATCATAGAGACAGAATTATTGCTTTTGTTTCTTCTTGGATTGTTGATTTTTTGAAGTGATGAAGCGATCTGTACTAATCTTGTCTTATTTCTCTTTTCATTCAGTAATAGAAGATTTTGGAGTCAATGAAAGAAGCAGAAAAAGTATAGACAATCTGAGACTACAGCTTGCTCAAAAGCAGGTTTGGATGGCTTCTTCCATTCACAGGGGAGAAGAAGAAAGTTCGTTCCATCTCCTATTGAAACACCTGATTGTCTTGCTTAACATAAAAAATGAGAGGGTCATATATAATATGGAAAAATATACATAAGATAGGCAGTTTGATTTCCCTGAGATTTGCTTGTTAGTCAGTAAAGATGTCAACATTTTGATTGTTTTTACCCATTTTGTTATATTCTGTCTTTGCTAGCTATCTACCTTCAGTTAAAAAAATCTTCTCATTGTGTAGCAAATACCATTTTCTTTTTCCTTCCATAACCTAGCTCTAAAAAGAAACATGATCTTATATCAATTTGGCTTCCTTTTATGTAATTTTATGCAATTGATATATTTGAAAGCATATCTAGGGTCAGAATTTATATTTCTTCTGTCTTTTACAAACTGTCCTACTTATTAGTTTTAAGACTATTTAAGGATTATCTTAATCCATTGACTAGATTTAGTTCACTGCCCTCCTTATTTTGGTGCGTGCTTATTATTTTATCAATCTTTTAACATGTTTAGATTTGATTGCTTTGTCTGCAGTAATATTAGGAGTTCACATTGTCCTTATGCAGCTGCAACCTAATATAATGACTATTATTGTCCCTCGGCATCCACAGCAAGGAAGGGAGATTGCTAAAGTAAGTTTTTGATCCCACATCCTTATTCCTTTCCCTTTAAAACATGTTAGTTATAACTGCCTCTATGATGTAGAATCAGAGGCCTTTTGACTATTATTTTAGATGGTCTCTGAGGGGAGGGAAATATCAATATTATAATTATGCAGAAAAAGAGTGTCAAATGTTTATAGGGACGGTCTATTTATAGGCTTAACATGGCGAAACACCCTTATAAAATAACCCTATTTTATATTGAAATAAGATAATCAAAATAGGATAAAATTCCTAAATAACAAATAATCCCAAATAAAGAATCTTAATTTCAAAATAAAATCCTAAAACTACATACCCAATTCACATCACTCTATCTCTTGCTCTCTCTATTTAATACAGATGCTATCACTTATGCATAGAACCCTCAGTCATTCTGAATATAATTCAGCAGACCTTTCTCATTATTGTCACCACTAAAAATATGATTTTGGCTACTGTATACTTCTGAAATGAAAGTTCCAAGGAATTATTATATTTCTAAATCATTATGTATGGATATGCTCATATCAAATGAAAATCAATTTGTAAATCCCTAGTACAGTCATTTGCATACAACAGAAATGAAGCTCATACGAAAATTACTGCCATTCTTGATGTCTTTTTTCTAATACAATCTCTGAAATTCATTATGCTTCTACTTGATATAGTGCAGAAATTGGAGAAAGAAGGACAAAATGTAGTTTTGAGGTCTCAACATGAGAAGTTTAAGCCAGGAACAAATATTTATGTGGTGGACACTTTGGGTACAAATTATTTTCTTTTCACTGACATAAAATGCTCTCATAAGTGAAAATCCACTTATGCTGAGAGTTAAGGCCATGTGATTTCAAGAGCTGTTGAGTTTGCACCTCATTCTTTACCATAATTCGCCATCTTCCGCATCACTTGTCATTCTTTTATAGTAGTCGATAACATATTTAATTCAGGTTTATTTAAGAAGGGATTGATGAAGTCTCCAGACCTTAGTAGTTTCATTTGTAAATTTGCAATTTCACGTTGTACTTTATGTAATGTGAAACTTTACTTTTAAGGCTATTACTGGGTATCGGGCAAAGGGAACCTGGGCTGATGTAATTATTAGGCATATTAAGGATATCATCCATGACATATTCTGTCATCCACCTTCTTTGGCAGGTGAATTAAGACACTTGTACTCATTAACACCTATAGCTGTGGTTGGGGGTTCATTCCTCCCTGGTTTATCTGGGCATAATATCTCAGAAGCTGCTGCATCTGGCTGTGCTATTTTGACAGGTTCTTGTGGAATAACCTTTTAGTTCTCAGATCTCAATATGTTATTTTAGTGGCTGGGGCTCATAATTGATTTCAGGTTGTCACGTTGGGCATTTCTCCCACATGGTACTGGAAATGCAACGCTCTAATCCTTTGTCAGTCCTTCAGGTGGGGAAGACATCTCTATTGCTAGTCGAATTTATTCTATTGCATGAATATTCCTAAACTGTTCTCTATTGTGGCTGACTTGTAGGTTTCTGGAAAACTGGAGCTTGAAAAGGCTCTCATTAAGCTCTTTACAAATGCAACACTTCTGGAAGCACATCGTAGAGCTGCAAAGGAAGCATTTCGTAGTTTGTCCAGTGACATTGTTGCGGAGATATGGAGTTTGCTAAATTTTCATATTTTTAGTAGATTGTCTGCAGAGGAAACTAAGACTGCGTGAGAAATGAAGTTTCTTAAGGTCACAACAAATTTTCATCCAGACTCTAGCCATTTATTGAATTCATTTAACCTGCGATAGATGCATCCGACAATTGCAATCCTTTTCCCTGTAACTGTGGTTTGTTTTCTCATTAAGAATTGCTAGAAAAGATTTAAGTTTAGCATCATCAAATGTTTTTGTATATTAGCTTAACAGCCTGCCATCAATCTTCTCACTTATCAAAACTTTGTTGCTTTCTTACTCATATATATTTATTTTTGTAATTTACGAAGTTCTCCTAGTATTGCCCTTTAAACCTTGAAGAGTGTATATGCTAGATGCCACATATACACTTTTTTTTTTTTTTGGAGATTACACATACACTTTCATTTCAGCGTTATTACTATTTGCTTTGGTGCCGACCGTGGTAAATCTGTGCTTCAAAACGGTGAGTTTACGAGATGAAGAACAATCATCTCTAACTTGGGCAGTTAAGTGTAAATATATGACAATTTTATAGTTGTCAATAGCAGTTAGCGGCTGGTAGTGGCCGACCCCGAAAATGGTATAGCGGTGTAGTGGGTAGCGGTATTACTACTACGGTAAAGTATTAATTCCACATATATTATACTAACAGTCAAGAAACAAGGCAATACCGTTTTTAGTATTAATGCTCAAACATAAGAAGTCACAAAATCAAATACATAATTCCACAATCAATGTCAAATACAAGGAACATAAAGGAAGGATCCAAAATTAAACACAACCGAACAATAAAATTGTCAAATAGTCAAGTACAAGAAGTGAACTAATAAAGAAAATCATTATCATCTCTAGATTCTCCATCAAATTTCAATATGGGAGTGGTGTAGCGAGTAGAGGTATTGCTGCTATGCTACGCCGCTACCTTCCGCTACGGCCAATGTCGCGTAGCGTTGCGGTTTGTAGCGGCCGACCGCCGCTACCCGTTACGGTAGCGGTTTAGCAGCGCTACGAGCCGCTACTGACAACCTAGGACAATTTTCTCATAACTCATGGAGTTCTTCTGTTTACCCGAAACCCTGATGGTACCCTTCTTGAACAGTGTTTCCCTATGAGATTGGCTCTTGTAGGAATGTAGGTGTCATTTTGGGAACTCGTACGATAGAATTGCTACTTGCATAATCTATCACATCATAATCTTTCGGAATTGCATGTGTCTGTATATTTGTTTGAAAGAAAGAAAAAATCAAATTTAAACCTTGTGTAGATAGGATTACTCTGCCACGCTAGCAATTTGTGCTACAACTGGACCTCTGTAGTTTGGAGTCAACTATTGATTAATTAATGATTATGGTCCCAAAACCTCTTTTGGCCCTTGCTTTTCACTGTTCCAATACCTCGCTTTTTTCCTCATTTTTCCTTTTTCAGCTAAAAACTTCATTGTCCAGCATCAAACCATAGTTTAGTTGTATTTATGCATAGTCAAAGATCATATCATATTAAATAAAATAACGAAGAACAAAAACGTATATATGCATGTTAAGGTACGTGGAAAAGTCATATATATATAAATAATTCGTCTACAGAAGAAAAGGGGTAGGTAGCAGATATTGCATCTTGACAACATGAAATCATTTTAAAATCTAAAATGGCTGTTAAGAACTACTCTTTGACAATCCTCAATGTAAGTGATTCAGGAAAGAGAAAAAGAGAGTTGTTGTTCTCCTTAGGCTGCTATAATAACTGCTATGCTTAATGCCTTTTAGTTGTTGCTCCTCCTTTTGCTATCAAAGCCTTGAAGTAGTGGTACAGAGTCTTTGGAAAAACTCAAATCTAGCTTTTTGAGAGGCACATGGCAAGATGATCTTGGTGGGTGTGTGCCACCTCTAAGGGACTGAATAATATCTTCAAAAAGGAACTCATCACAAGGTATAGCCAAAGGACCACTCTTGTTGAAGCCATACCCTTCATATGCTTGTTCTAGCAGTTGTTGAAGCACTGGATGGTTCAGGTAATCAGCCCTTATCACAAACCTCCTCTTTGCTTCTCCCACCGTGACGGCCAAGTGACCTCGCGGCACGTCAGCCGGTGGTTTCTTCCCACTGCCACCACAAGCATTCTTGCGCCACATGCATGCCATACTAGTACTTTTTTGTAAATTGTTGAGTTTGAGCTTGAGGTTCTCTCGTGTGGTGGATTTGGATTCTGTTATATGTGTATATAATGTTGCTACTTGAGGCCCCTCAACACTCATATACTATTCTCTTGTTTTTCATCTTGACTACAAACTGAGACACGTTGTGTGCTTTGGAAAATGACTGAACCAATACTTCATATTTGACAAAGGTTAGGTGTGGCAGTTTGCTGTAGTCCTTTTGTCGCACTGCTGCCATGCCATTACTATTCTTATTATTTTTAGTGATACCTCTAATTTGTCATTAATAAAACGAAGAGACTAAGAGAGGATTTGATTGCCTGCAATGACGTTGGAACAGTACTGTCTGTGTGCTACTTCTTGTACCGTTCATAGCTAAGCAAATTTTATTTTTTATTTTATAGATTTCTTCAACAGCTTCATTGATTATCCTGATTAATCCAATTTGGGAGCTGTGTAGCTCTTACACAAATAACAACTCCCCAATATCATTTTCTTCGCTTCTGTTCTTAATCGGTCACATTGGTCCAGCCCAATAGACCGACTAATAAAGTCTATATACGGCGGGACACTCTGCATCCCTAAAGCCAAATTTTTAGGCTCTTATCGTAGAGGATCTCATTCCCCGGCATCAGCATAACTCACACTTCACATTTTAGGTGAGTAAGAGCCTCTTTGTTTCACCTTTTAAAAAAAGTAATTTTTATCTCTTCTTTATTTTAAAAGTGTTTTTTGCAAAAGTTAAAACTATTTATATTTTTAAACAAATATTTAGTTTTTGAAAAAAATATTTGGCTTTTGACTTCTACTTTTTGTAGAAGTTAAAATTTTTAACTTCTGTTATCAAAAAAAAAAAAAAAAAAAATTTTAACTTCTAAAAAAAGTAGATTTTTGACTTTTTTGTGACTTCTGCTTCCTTTAAAAGTAGACATCCAAACGAACTATAGATGAGAAGTGCTTTTTTTTCAAAAAAAAAAAAAAACAGCTTTTGAAGAAAAAAAAGCTCATCCAAACGAGTCCTAAGTCTGTTTACCTCACAGTGGCCCAGAGCAAAATGATTACGATAAATTCTATCACTTATTATTGAAAAATCCTCTTCACCTATAAATATCACTTTTTCAATTATTGAAGAGGCACCTTCTGCATAGAGAGTTGTTACTCTGCAAAACATACCTAGAGCCACGGTACCCTCATATACGTTCCCTCCCGGCCTTCACACGAGACCAGTGTTTTAAAACCCGGTTCGGACCGGCCGAGTCGACCCAGGACTCGGTGACCCGGTGGGTTCCCCGGTCCGAACGGGTAGTTGGACTGTTTCTGCAGTCAACCCAGATTGGACCGGTTGACCTGGCCGAAACCCGACGACCCGGTGACTCGGTTGATCCGGGTTAGACCGGTTATTCCTTTTTTTTTTTTGGTAATTTTTTGTTATTGATAAGAACTCTTGAATTAAATCATATTCATATTTTATGAGGAATATGATTAAAAATAAAGTGAAAATTTAGATTAGTGCAGTTCGTTTATGTAATTTAGTTGCATCTTATAATGATCTCATGAAGTTAAGTGGTGATAAACACTGATGGTCTCATGATCTCATCTCAACGGTGGACACTTTTTTTTTAGTGTATATTTCATGCATACTATTTGTTATCATGATAACGGTGACACTTTTTTCTTAGTGTATATTTCATGCATATTATTTGTTATCGATTTAATTTATCTGTATCATGTCAAGCACAAAAGGTGCATTTAACTTATATTACAATTTTAATCCAATATTAGGATATGGTCTAGAGCTAGAAGCTTAGAAGTATATAATATTTGCTATCATTGAAAATCAATTTATTTTTCGAAGCTCATTGATAGTTTTCTTATGTGAATTTTTATTAATATAAGTAATATTTTTTATACTTTTAATATGTGAACAATAAATCCGGTTCAACCCGGTTGAACCAGTGACCCAGTACCTCGACCGGTTCGATGACCGGTCCGAGTTTTAAAACACTGCATGAGACTATACACGCGTTGACTCTTTACTGAGCTTTGATCTATATCATTACCTCACTATCGTTGTTATTTGTTACATTGAAATACTATAACCTATGGAGAAAAATAAACCTAATCTCACCATACTAACACTTGGCTTCCCAATGCTTGAACTCAAACAAACTTATTATTTCAATCAATGATTGTTGATGCCGGCAAATTTACTTTCCTCACCTCCTCGGTAAGCCATTTACCACATGAATTCAATTTGTTGTATGTGCTTGTTGGAGTTTTTATTTTTATAAAAATAGGAATTTGTATCAAACTTTATGTAGAGTTTTAAAGGATTTAAATAGCCCAACGACAAAATCGGCGTTTTTATATAGCCAAACAACTATTTGTTATATTGTTACTTGACTCTGATAAAATAAGTTTAATAATTTTCATGTGGTGTCCGTGTGATTAATGGATGAGAAATTGGATTTGTTTTTAAAAGGTATTGGAAATTAAACTTGCTTATATGCAGGTGTGATTGCATAAGGTAGAATAAAAATACCAAAAAATATAACTACTTTGTGAGTAATAATATGCTAGACAGAAAAAAAAAAGTGTGTGACAGAAATTAGTATGTTCCTTTTTAGCATAAGGAGATGACAACATAATTAAATATCATGGATTCTATTATTTTATTTTTATTTCTTGTGATTTATATTTTTGTTTTTAATCATTATTTATCTGTCTAAATTTATTATTATTGAGATTTTTATTTTGTTAGTTTTCACACATTAGAATAATAATATTTATGTTAAGTTATTCATTATTTACCTATAATTTTATTTCACCTTCAATCTAGTTCCTATTTTTTAATACTATTTTAAAAAGTTTCTACAATTTTCAAACAATGCAAAATGTTCCTAAATATGTGAGCTATTTTGTGTTGTTTGAAAAATATAAAGATAATTCGACCTAAAACCTTTTCGAACATTTTTAAATTGTATGAATTAAATTGAATTTAAAATGAAACCTAATATGTACTTAAGTGTCTACAGACTTACTAAGTTAAAAAAATTCATGAATTACTTTGATGCTTTATCTACAAGCCAAAAATATCAAGGGAAATTATGTTAAATTGTTAATGCCTTGGCTATCTCCCATAGGTAACATGAATTTTCTTAGATAATAGTGCTTGGTTCTGCCGACTAATAGAAACCATGTAAACGTTGAATTGTTAGGGAACTATTACATTTTGAACATTAATGACAATCTTTTTCACAAATCAGCATACAATAATCCTTAAAACACTATTTTAGGTCACAAAGATTAGCCCAAAATGTGATAGAAGTTATACGGAAATAGCACAATTCCAGGAAAACGTAATCTTAAATGTGTGTTAGTTCAGAGTTGGTGTGGCTTTTTCTCTGTTTCTCATGTGTCTTCACATGTTAATGTAACGCCACCTAAAATAAGACCGACAATCTAACACCGCCCTATGTTCAGTAAGAATCACTAATGACCAATTTGCTTATGAGTTTTTTGAGGGCCCTTCCAATGTATTTCATCACATTTTCTTTTATTATGAAAATTCATTTGTAGGGGCAAGTGGCAACTTTACCTTTTGGGTAACTTGAGTAGCCAAACATGACAATGAATATGCCTTTGTCCTTTATACAGCAACCTCAAAGAAAAATAAAAAATCAGTAAACATTTTTTTTTTTCTTGGGCCTGAGTGTGAGTATTATTAACTATGGAGTGATTGATTATTAGGTAAATCTAAATACTATACAAAAAGTACTCAACTTTGGAGGTACCATAGAAACCTTTCGTGATGTATCAAACTTTACAATTCTAATTGATGTGGTTAAGGCAATATGAAATGGGATAATAATGTATCAATCACTTTTACATCATTTTGAAGCATAGAAAGATTGCTGAAAATTTTACATCGAATCTATTTGCAGGTTATATTTTGATATAAAAGAAAGCGTTTTAAATAGAAATACGATTTATTATTTCTCATGTTGTAGGAGATAAAAATATCTCCTACAAACATATAAAAGTGTGTGAGATTCATAATTTTTCTTTTCCTCACACATGAGTCACACACACTTTTATATATATTTAGAAGATAATATTTATCTCATACAACATAGGAAATATTAATTATTATAAACATAATGTATACAGATTAGATATATACCAGAAAGTGTGAGTGGCAATCACAATACGTAATTGATTATTATTAGCTTCCTTGTTATATGAGAGATCCTTCGTCGGCAAACATTGCCTTTTCCATTTTTCTGATCAATAATGAGCACAAGTAAGGAGGGACGTTAAAAGACACTCGGGTACATGGGTAACAGAAGCACTTGCCACATATGTGTTTTCCTTTTCTTCTCCTAATTTTTGTTTTGTTTCACTGGTGTTTCTCCAAAGTTTTTATTAAGGTCTACAAATGAACCAATTAATGGAAATTATACTAAACACAACTTTGGAACTTGGGGCTGAACAAGATTTCATGTCTTCCAAAAGTTCTTAACATGCAAAAAGCAAATGACATGTGCAGCATATTAGTGACAACTTAGGGACAGCAATAACTCTTTCTTGTTCTCCTCCTTGATCTAGGCATTACATGAAGATTTCACATGGAATTGAAACTCATTTTGATCTGAAAGACGTTAGCTCTACCCTAACAAAGAAGGTATATTCTGTCAGGTAGGATAGGAGGAGTCTTGTTGTACACTCGGTTTGTCAACATTACGTATAATATTAAGCGTAATTACAATCACAACAGTTAAATTAAAAGCACGGCTAACTTTTTCTTTTTAAACAAATTCCATTTCTGATTGAAATCCATCTTGTATTTAAATTAAACCTCAAATTGTAATTATAACAATATGACATTGCAGATTAATTACACCTTACTTAAACATACCATACTACTTCCTTTAGACACTACTGTGAGGGACCCATACCCCTCACAACCTTATTTTCATTTCTGC